TTAATAAGAAATGAAGGTGACTTCCTAAGTCACTCATTTTTGTTTTGAGATAATATCACTATTGGAGAGCTGATGAAAATTTAATGGGTCTTCTATTCAGAAAATATACTTACAAATTAATGTTCGATTTAATTTCAGGGAATTCATAGAACACTTCCTCCATGAATATCATAATTAAATTATACACTAAGAACTGCTATTATACTTCTGAAAACCATAGAGTAAGTCATTTTTAAAATCCATATAATATGGTTATGGAGTCCTGGTGTGACAACATAGGACAAGTGCTGAACGTTCAAACCTACCAGCTGCTCCTCAGAAACCTTATACAGGGTCACTGTGACTTGGAACCTACTTGATGGTACTTAAAAACAACAATTATGTTTGTATATTTGCATGTTAAAAAGTTATAACATTTAAATAGCAAGCAAAACTTGTAAAAGGATACATAATAAAACCTATGAAAGCCAGGACCTAAGTAAGGTGAAAACTTGTCAGAGAAGGAAAACTCAAATATTTTCCATTTAAACAAGTGGTAAAACCACGTATGCCAAAGGCAGAAAACTTCTGAGACGCCCCCCAAAAAGCAAGACGAGTTTCCAGTTCTCTGTAATAAGTTCTCATTAGTTCTCGGTTTTGCTATAATAACAAACTATGCAACTATTTTAAAATGCATATAGATGCTTTTATGAAATATTTTATGAAATAAAATAGGACACAAAATTCTACACATAAAATACCAATTATATTTTTTAAAAGGCATAGAAAACTATAATAGCAAGTACTTCAAAATATTGTGATAATCTCTAGATGACCATATTAGTTTTAATGGGTTTTTTAGTCATATACTTTTAGTTTTTGAAGTGCCTCATGAAAATAATATTGTAATTCTTTTCCTAATATTCTAATTACAAGAAGGAATGCATGCTTACTATAATCAATGTTGTTGTTTTTTGCCGTGGAGTCGGTTCCGACTCATAGCGACCCTGCATTGGGTTTCTGAGGCTGTAAATCTTTACAGGAGCAGAAAGCCTCATCTTTGTCCTGCGGAACAGCTGGTAATTTCGAACTGCTGACCGTGAGATTAGCAGCCTGATTCGTAACCACTATGCTACCAGAGCTCCTTACTATAATCAGTAGATGACTCATATCTCTCTCCTGTCTAGAGATGTGTGCAAAAAACCTTAGATAACAATACCTAGAGTAAGGAGAGTGTTTTGAGAATGGAAATTTTGTAACTCAGAAACTAAATGGGCTCATATTTATATTCAAATATAAAAGCTGCAGAAAAATGTACAATTATATGATTCTTACATAAACCAAAATAAAGTTTCTGACATAATAACTTGAAGATGTTTTATAGCCATGGAAGATTTGAACACAGTGAAAACCTCACAAATGTGAAAGCAGCTATGAAAAGACAATGGACATTGATTCTATTTAAACATAAAATTGTCTAAACAGCTGTGATAATTCACAGTACATGACAACATTTCTTTAAGAAAAAAGACAGTAATATGTAGAAAATAATAAAATATTACCTGGAAAGGTCCTACTAAAATCTAGAGTTGGTCAAATTATTGCTAATTTAACTATTTTATTTTATTAGCATTGAAAAGTAAATTATTTCAAAAATGTTTTAACATGTTTTCAAATTTGCTTTTTTAATCAGAAGGGGTAAAAAAGGTTACACCTGTAAAAGACCTTTTGTGTTAAGTGTTAAGTCACTGTTGTTGTTGTTGTTGTTGTTGTTAAGTGCCATGGAGTCAGTTCTGACTCAGCAACCCTGAATAGGGTTTCCAAGGCTATAATCTTGGCAGGAGCAGAAAGCTTCATCTTTACCTTCAAGTCAAACTGTGAACAGTAGTTGAGTGGAAAGTAGAGCAATTAAACACAAAATATTTGCCTCAAATATTTTATCATTTAAACTCTAAGTTGAGATAAATCTTTTAACTACAGTGCACCTCAATAATTTTCTCAAATTTGAAAAAACCTTCCTATCAAAGATTTTGTGAGAACACCTAGAGACTAATCAAATCAAAACTATTATGGGAATTCTTGTGATTTCTTACTCTTCTCTGGATGTCCTGAAAGCAAGAACATGTCAATTCCCCCCTCTGTCTACCTCCTGAGAAAGTCAGCTTGTGCCTAACGATTCTGTGTCCTGATTTATGTCTGTGTCTTCTTGCTTCATGTAGAAAAACAACACTGAATGACTTTAAATCAGTAACAGATTCCCATCTGACTCTGTTTCTACTGTAATCTCCCTTTTAAGGCCTGTTTTGGTCACCTCATTTACACTCCTCTCAACATTTCCCACAGACCAAAATTTCACAGGGGAATATCCTGATCAAAGAGACTGAGTTACTATACATGAGTTATATATTTAATCTGATTCACAATTTAACATTTAACCAAATTTCTTTCTTGGTTCCCTTTTTCCTGCAGACAGGTGCTGATCGTTAAGATGTCCCAAGATATGGATCTCTCCCAGAATGTAACTAATAGCTCAAGGTTTCAAGTCTCTGAGTTCATCCTGTTGGGATTCCCAGGCATTTACCAGTGGCAGCACTGGCTTTCCCTGCCACTGGCTCTGCTCTACCTCTTAGCGCTAGGTGCCAATCTTCTCATCATGATAACCATCCAACGTGAGTCTGCCCTGCACCAGCCCATGTATCAGTTCCTTAGTGTACTTGCGATAGTTGACATAGGTCTGGCTACCACCATCATGCCCAAGATCCTGGCCATCTTCTGGTTTGATGCCAAGTCCATCAGCCTTCCTCAGTGCTTTGCTCAGATCTATGCGATCCATTATTTTCTTAGCATGGAGTCAGGCATCTTCCTCTGCATGGCTGTGGATAGATATGTTGCCATTTGCTATCCACTGCAATATCCGTCCATAGTTACTCAAGCCTTTGTAATCAAATCCATAGCATTTATGGTGCTCAGGAATGGTTTATTGACCATCCCAGTGCCTGTACTGGCTTCCCAGAGACACTACTGCTCCAGGAACGAGATTGAACACTGCCTCTGCTCTAACTTGGGAGTCACCAGTTTGGCCTGTGATGACATCGCCGTTAACAGGTTCTATCAGTTGGCCTTGGCCTGGATCATAGGTGGAAGTGACATGTGTCTGGTCTTTGCTTCCTATGCTTTGATTTTTCGCTCAGTGCTGAGGCTGAACTCTGCTGAGGCAACATCAAAAGCCCTGAGTACCTGTAGCTCACACCTCATCCTCATCGTTTTTTTCTATACAGTCATTGTTGTAGTATCTGTCACCCACCTGGCAGGAAGAAAGGTGCCCCTCATCCCTGTTCTCCTCAATGTGCTGTACAATGTCATCCCCCCAGCCCTTAACCCCATGGTGTATGCCCTTAGAACCCAGGAGCTCAGAGTGGGCTTCCAGAGGGTGCTTGGTTTGGGTGATTATGTGTCTAAGAAGTGACCCTAGCTAAAGTAATGGAATATGTGATTCTGCAAAAAGCACACAGGCTCTTTAACCCAACAGATGCGATATGAATCCCATTTTCTCTTTTCATTAGGAGCTACAATGTATTAGCTAATACGTAAACAAAAATTCAAACTCACTACTAACCTAGAAGTCAGCAGTTTGAACCTACTAGTAGCTCCATGGAAGAAAAGACCTAACAATTCGCTTAAGTAAAGACTACAGACTAGGAAACACTCTGGGGCAGTTCTTCCCTGTCATGTGGGGACACTTTGAATATGAATTGACTCCATGACAAACAACAGCAGAAATAGGAATGTTATAGATTAAAATAAATGTGGTTTGTGGTTTCTGACTGAGTGTAGTGACTATATACATCTTAAATGCATATAGTTTTCAAATGTATATTTCAAGGGTGAACGTTGAAAACATTATGCTAAATGAAGGAACCCAGACCAAAAAATAAGTCACATATTACATGATTCCATTTGTATGAAATGTCAAGAATAGGCAAATACAAAGGAGCTCTGGTGATTCTGTGGGTTAAGTGATGGCTGGTAACTGCATGGTTCAAATCCACCAGGCTGTCTGTGGGAGACAGATGAGACCATCTGCTCCCATAAAGATGTACAGTCTCAGCAACACTATTTATAGGGCCACTGTGAGTCAGAATTGACTTAATGCAGTGAGTGAGGCAAATCCATAGATAGATATAAAGTAGATGGGAATTCTAGTGTGGCCTTGTAGGAGAGCGACAAGGTCAGTGGTTCAAACCCACTGGCCGAACTTTGGAAACCCTATACAAGGTTGCTGTGAGTCAGAACCAACTCCACAGCACTTAACAGCAACAAGATAAAGTAGATGAGTGATTGACAGAGGCTAGGAATGAAGAGAATGAGGAATTACTACTATGAGAATGGGGTTTGTCTTGAGGGTGACAATTAGATAATGGGATGATTGCACAACTGTGTGAATATGCTAAAAAGCATTGGATTTTACATATAAAAGGATGAATTTTATGGTATTTGAATTTGACTGTTGTAAATAAAATGTTGCCAGCAGCTTTATTACCAGAAGGGCAGAACTTTTGTCTAGAAGAATCAATAGAGTAATTATTAATGATGTGAGGCAGGAATGTAACAGAAACTACTCTGGGGCTTAACAAACTATATTTGGAGCTAATTTGTATTTGAGTCAAGAAGTTTTCTCAAAGAAAGATCATGGACCAAAAATGTCTTCATCTTAGAGTTTAGTATAATATGACCTCTCCTGTTGTTGTTAAGTGTTGTCAAGTCGGTTCCGACCCATAGCGACCCTAAACAGGGTTTCTGAGGCTATAAATCTTTATGGGAGCAGAAAGCCTCATCTTTCTCCTGCAGAGCAGCTGATAGTTTCGAACTGCTGACCTTGCATTTCACAGCCTAATTCATAACCGCTATACTACCAGACCTCTCCTAATGGGTGTTAATTAAGGTTTTGTGTCAACTTGACTGGGCCAGGATTCTGAGAAGTTTGGCAATTGACATACAGTTATCAACATAATAAGATCTAATATAATGTAGTTAACTATGATGAGTTCTGCTCTGAGCAGCCAATCAATTGAAAGGATGCTTCCTCAGGAATGTGACCAGCTTCCAATATATTAGACACTCAGGCAAAGCTTGTTTGTACTCTGTTGTGTCTGGATCTTGCTTATCATCTGATAAGCTTTGAACTTGAGCATGTAACCTGTCGATCCTGGGAGTCATCAGCAGCCTGCCGGCCTGCCTGACCTGCCTGCTAGACTGCCAGACCTGCCTTCCTACTTGTCGATCTTGGTTCATCTGGTCCAGACTTGAAACTCTCCCATCTGTACAAATGTGTGAGCCATTTCCTGGATAGAAACTTCTCTTCATATATAAATGTGTGTGTGTGTATACATGTGTGTATATAAAGTTTTACTGGTTTTGCTTCTCTAGAGAACCCAGCCCAAGACAGGTGAATAAAGGTAATCCTAGCTGAGATTCTGGACCTATCTGCATCAGACTCCTAGAGGGAGGATTTTACCCTAAGAAAAGTGTGTGTGGGAAGTGAGCATGTGCTTGGGGAAAGTGGAGCTGGTGTCCCAAGACAAATGGTAACATCCAGTTGGACATGGGATAGTGTTACCTGATTTAACAATAAAGACACAAGATGTCCAGTTAAATTTGAATTTCAGACCAACAGTAAATAATGTTTTAGTAAAAGCAGGTTCCGTTCATTGCAATATTTGAGCATATTTATACTAAAATAATTCTTTGTTGTATCTCTGAAATTCAAACTTACCAGGTGTCCTCTGTTTCATTAGGAAACCCTACAAGGAGTAGACTGCTTCCAGGAAATCCTGTGTCTGAGGGTGGAGCCCTTCTTCTCAGGCACCAGGGGAATACTTTAGGAAGAGGAGCTATGTGTTTAAACACAAGACAGAGGGCTATACTTGGGAACCCAAGCATGGCGATCTATTGGCCAAATATAAAACTGAGGGAATGTAATAATCTACCTCAAAAAAAAAAAAAAAAAAACAATGTTTGGCAATACATAACAGAGTAAGAGTGTTGTAAATCTCTTCTCCAGGAAACCACTAGAAAACTGGAGGAGGCGTGGATCAGTTAGCACAGATTTGAAAACCAACCAGTAGAGAGAAAACTGTGAATTGAGCTGTGTTTATTCATGAAAAGCTGCTGAACTTTAAGTAGAAGGACTATAGGTCTACATATGTTGTTCTTGCATGGGGTTGCTCCTATCCAACCTCCACGACCTCTGATTTACTTTGTGCGGTAGTTCCACCAAGTCAGGACTGACTACAAAAATCAGTAGTTTCACTGCCAAAAAGGGACTGTTTCAATTTGGAGCAGAGGTGGGAAGACCCTTATCCCGTGCCAAATGGAAAGGCTTGCACCTCTCCTAACCAGAGGCTGCTGTTCTGGTTGAACAGTAAACTGAACCATTGGCTTGAGGTTTACAGAGAGAGATCACAACACAGAAAGACACAGAGGCTTTGGTAAGTTCTCCATAGATGCCTGACTGACTGGAAGCTTCCACATACATTCAGGAAAGATTGAAAAGGACTCAAGCTCTCCACACATCCTAACTGTCCTGAGAGAAGAAACAGACAATTTAACAATAAGCGTTGAAGATTTTCCTGTGCCATTCTGTATAACTGATAGAATACCTAAACAGAATATCAATAAGAATGTAAAGGAGACGAGCAATACTCTCAATAAAGTTGACATCATTGACATTTATAGAACACTCCAGCAAATTACACATATTTGTCAAGGGCACATCACTATTTCTATGGAATAAACAATATATTCTGTCATAAAACAAATCGTGACATATTTCAACAGTTTTCAATCATACAAGGTGTGTTCTCCAACCCCAATGAAATTATATTAAAACTTCACAATAATAAGAAATTTGGAAATTTTTCAAATATTTGGAAATAAGATTATACACTTCATGAGTAAAGAACAAAGAATAAGGGAAATTTAGAAATCTTTTTAACTAAAAAAAAATTAAAATGAAACATCAAAATTTATGAAACGCATCTGAAGTAACATTTAAAGGGAAGTTTTTAGCTTTAAACACCTAGGAGCTCTGGTAGTGTAGTGGTTACAAAGCAGTCTGCGAACCTCAAGGTCAGCAGTTTGAAACTACCAGCGGTTCTGTGGGAGAAAGATGAGGCATTCTGCCTCTGTAAAGATTTACAGCCTCGGAAACCCTGTACATGATCACTACGAGTCAGATCGACTCCACAGCACATAACCACCACCACCCAATTCATGAAGTCCTGTTGTGGCGCTGTACAATAAGTGCAGGACGGAAGGTCTCTTTGAGCCACAAGATCCACAGTTCAAACTCACCAGCTGCTCCTCGGAAACCCTATACAGGGTCATTATAAGGAGTCCTGGTGGCTATGAAGAGTCCTGGTGTAGCGCTGTGGATTAATGCGTTGGACTGCAAAGTTGGTTTGAACCACAAGGTCAGTGGTTCAAGCTCACTAGCTGCTCTTCAGAAACCCTATACGTGGTCACTATGGGTCAGAATCACCTCAAACACACTTAACAATAACAATGAGTTGAAACCAACTCAATGGCACTTAATAACAACAACAACCCTATTCATTGGAGTCTGGATGTGGCACTGTAGGATAAGCACTAGCCCATAAGGTCTGTTTGAACTGCAAGGTCCACTGTTCAAACCCACCAGCCATTCCTCAGAAACCCTATACAAGGTCAGTTAACAACAACCCTATTCTATAATGGAGTCTTGGTGTGGTGCTGTAGGAGAAATACTGGACTGCTATCCACAAGGTCAGAGGTTCAAACCCACCAACCTCTTCCTCAGAAACTCTATAAAGATCGCTCTAAGTACAAACAATACAACATCAACAGCAGTTAGTATGATTGGTATGGACCTTTCATGTTTTATGTACCTACACCCATCCCATCGCCACAATACTTTGGACTAGGAATAGGAACCAGATTTATGCTGACTCAAGAAAATCCTCCCACAAATGTTTAGACTGTCACTCTCCAGTGAGCAAAATTTTAAGAGGTAAAATTGAAAAACTCTCTTCTTCCAGGCTGTGAAGAAAGCCAATCTATAGTGTGATATGCAGCTAGCCCAGAGAATATAAGGTGGCAGATGGAAGGAACTAGTTTCAGTCCTTCTCATGGTCTAATATCCCTGTCCTGCCTACAGTCTATTTCCAAATCTTCCCTGCAGTCCTGTCAGCCAATAAATTACCATTTTGATTGACAGCCTGGATTCTGTCTTGATGAACTGAAACCCAAAAGACAGAAGAGTATCTTTTGAAATTTACTTAACTTTTTCTCTTTTGTATACTGAGACTATTCACTAGTTCTCTCTGTAGATAGGATATTGAGATAAAGATCATGGAAGACAATGTGCTTTGAATGTATATAAACCAAACCAAACCTACTGCCATCAAGTTAATTCCACCTCATGACAAC